GTGCGCGGTGGCAAGGGTGGTACAGCAGGGCCTCCTGCCTGCACTTCCCCGTGACCTTGATACGACATCTCCGACGATACAAAGCACAACCAAGCGCCCAGAAGGAAGAGCACTGCTGCACAAAGAAGCAGTGACACACGCTTCACGAAACGTCTTTTTTGTGCGTATCTCATCGTTTCTCCAGATTCCCTCCACGTTTCCCCTGTTTTTTTTTCCCTTATTGCATCATAAAAATAGGAGGGGGTGAAAAAAAGAACCTGTTTAATTGCACTGTAGTGGGAACACTTCTGGCGACTAGAGACACGGATTACACCTGCATCATCCCAGCAAGATTGTTTTACGCGCTGGTCTTCCCTTTTCTCATGCGCTCATAGAAAAGAATACTGTGGGCCCATCCACAGTGGTCTCCAAACAGACATTGAAATTGTCTTTGAATTGCATCGTGGTGCTTGGGCAAAAGTGCAGCTACTTTTTTTTTATCATCAGACTTTTCCTTTTTGGACCAATCCGCCAGAATCGCTTCGCAAGATGATTCAGGTATCACAGATGTTACTTTGGATGAGTATTTCGCGTCACGGACACGCTTTCGGTCGCCTTTCTTCTCAGCCCTGTGAGGTGCCGTTGCAGCACCAGCAGCAGGAGGAGTCTCGACCAGGTACTTTGCTGCAACCTGCGCCATGTGTGTGTCGACAGGTACAACCTCGTAATGGCCCAACGCAAAGAGCAGGACACAGTCTGCAACCTTTCGTCCCACTCCAGGAAGAGCCAAAAGCTTTTGGCGCTGCTCGCAGAGAGTGAGACGGTGATCCAGTAGGTCCTCATACCACTTGTACAACTTGGTGTCAGGTGCAAGTCCGTCCACTTTCTCCTTCGCAGGCCTAGTTACGCCGCTCGCCTTGATGATGGATGCGCAGTCAAAAATATACTTGCTGCGATAGCCCAACCCAAGTGCGCGGAGGTCATCCTCCGACTGCTTCGATAATTGGTCAATAGTGGGTAGACGATGAAGAGCCACCCATTCATCAGCCCCTTTAAGATTCTTCTTTGCATGCTTAGCCACCGGCTTGGAGCACTTTTCACCTCTGCGCACTTCGCCAGTGGCGAGGTTATAATCACACAGATAAAACCCGTACGTTGTAGCTATCTTCTCCATTAGGCTTGTAATACGCTGCACATTGTTGTTCTGCGAACATAGAAATGCCAGGAGAACTTCGTGAATGTCTTGCCGCAAGTGACGAATGCTCACAGGATGCGCCTCTTTCGTCAGGTGTGAGGTGAGGTAACGCACCAACGGGTGCTCACCCATTGGATTGTCAACTGTCCAGCGCTGCCACAGTTGCTGCAGGTCAATATCAAGCGCCAAGTAGTGGCGCAAGAAGCGTGTCTCCACGCTTACATCTGCCTCACTATTCAACTCACGGCTAAGGCAACGGAACCATAGTGTGTCCTCTACAAAGTTGTCATGCGTGGGCAAAGGCGAAGAGGAAATACTACTGGCTGTGTGCTGTGTACCGTGTTGATGGACCGCATCGGCACCAGGTGGTGGTGTTGCGCCGCACGCCAACTCATAGGCGCTGCGCTTCACAACGCCGACCCACGAGCCTCTCGCCGTTTGGCGCCAGCGGAAACACTGCCCTCCACACAGGGTCATTGGCAGATGCACCGCCGCTGGCGACGACAAGAGATGCCAGCCGTGCATCTAAACATCAACTTAGGAAGATGAGGAGACCAGGAAACGGAGAAAACGATGGAATGCAAATCACATCGGCCATGTGCACAACTTGTACCTTCCCCGTGCAGCTGATTGCGCTCAAAAGAACCGATTGAGGACTTATGGCACCAAGTGGTTAGACCCATCTTTCGGCCTTTCTGTTCAGCTCCAATTGTGATGCCATTCCCGTGCCCCCCACACACCATCATGGCTCTTCACGTCGTTCAATGACCGAAAGGACTTGCTCAGCAAAAACACGAGTTTGGCTATCAGGGTGCATTAACGCCACCGAACCCAATACAGATAGAGCTTCTGATAATGCCTCTTCGTTTTGGGCAGATTCTTCAGCAAATATTTCTGGTGCCGCGCCCAAAAGTGCCGTTAACAACTTCACGCCCTCTGACTGGACATGAGGAAGGCTCGAATATCTGGCACTACCCACAGCGAAGGTAAGGAGTGCGTTTCTGTCCGTACTGTCAATGGACATTATTGCAGACCTTGTTGAATTCACTTCCTGCTGCGGCACCCTCTGATGTGGCATCTCACCAGCGGGCTTATTATTATGGGTCTCCCCGCTGGAGGCCCACACTGCCAAGACGAGGATATTACAGCATTCAGCTGCTACCTGTGCCAAGTCTTTCCTGGAAGAACGAGTTGCAATAGCACATGCCGCATTAGCTAGCTCAATGACACGTGGCATGTATTTTGTCAACCATAGGCACACCAACTTCTTTCCAGAAGGAAATGCTCGCAGACGTTTAAGAGCGTACTCGTGCACATGAACTGCGAACTCAAATCGTTCAAGCAAGTTGACAGCGTCATCCCACACCAGAAGACATTCTTCTTCGTTATGACCTTTTTTCTGACGACTTGCATGTTCCCGACACATCGTCGCCAACTGCGAGAATGGCCGCATAATAGGCTCAACCACCGCATCATCAAACTCCACCCAATTCAACGCAACGGTCATGATGAGAGCCATGCACTCCACCGAGGCTTGGCTTAAACGACGATCACCCGAAATGACAGTCATGTCATGACTTTCCCTCCCTTCATCGCTGAGGAGCCATGGCATCACCACTTGCTCCGTCCAACGTCCAGCCATCATGGCGCCGTCCAAAAGATGACGCCGTTCGGCTTCGTTGAGCTCGTTGTCTAGAGTGGCATCAGCCCCCGTTCTCCCGCAGGGCAACACGGCCTTGTTCTGCGATAACAGGAGACAAATACAAAAGAAGCTGACACGACACACAAAACAGGCCTCATTGTATGTGCCATTTGTTGCCATTTCCGTCCTTATGTATTGTACCTCGAGGTCATGCAAACGCTGCAGCACCACAGTGGTACTGAATTTACACAAAAGCCCCAACACCAAACGTTGTGCGTCCGCAGGAAGTGCTTCGCGGTATTTGGCAGAAAGAATTACCATCCAAAGAATATCCCACAGCTGCCGAATGTGCAACGGCATCTCTGCTAGAGTGGGTGAGGCAAATGCCACGCGTGGACACCCATGTAGGCAAAGCAGCGGCGCCACCATTTGGTACATCAACAAGCCAGGATCCTTTGTACTCGCGGTGTCAGTATTGTCCTTAATAAGATCATCTATCCACACCCGTGATTGTGACACCTCTTCTTCCTCTTTGTTTTCATAATTTCCTTCGCGTCCCAGGATACGTACGCAACACGAAAGCAACGCCACTGCACCCTCTTGTGTCGAACCACAGACAGAAGCCATTTGTCCCACAACTCGAACGACGAGCTCTTGCTCCAGTGGCACCCTTGCATTCACGACACACTGGACGATGGGGCCGACGTGATTATCTGTCCAACGCGGTACATGTTTTGCCCAGTGCAGGACCAATGACATGACGAGCGGCATGAGTCGGTTGTTGGCACTTCCACTTCCACCTGCTGTGGTGGATTCACTCTGCTGCTCATTGCTGGGCTCGCTACCATCATCCACGATACAGGTATGCAGTTTTGAAAAGGCCAAAATATCTCCAGGTGTGGAAGGTGCGGCGCAGATCGATGGCTTACCCTCCCCCTGCAACGCCAGGTATTCCTTCAGCAGCAATAGTATGATGCTGCTGTCCTCTGTGTGTGCCTCGATGATACAGCGTAGAGCGTACTGGGCGGCTGATTGCCGTTTTCCCGATCTGTCATACTGCGTAGCGAGGTTTAGCAATGGGCGGCACACATCCTCCGGCCACACCTTCGAAAAAAGTTTAGAACTTTGTAATCGAACGAGAAGCTCATCGTCCTGAATTCGTAAAAGCAGTTCTTCCGACAATAGACGCAATACTGGTCGCATCCGCTCCGCTGTGAATGATTCTCCGTAAGCACTATCATCACATGCCCTGGGAAGTGCTGTGAGCACATCGAGCACATTCCGTCTAGTTTTAACATCGCCATGCTGCAGAAGTCGAAAAAGCGACGGCAGAACAGTGTGTGGACGCTCGACAGCAGCGCGTGTAAGCATCGCTATGACGCACTGCGACGCCCCGTCACGGCCGTCTGCAAGGAGGTCCAGCAGCTGATCGGATGAAGCGGCAATGCTGCGTGCGGTGGAGGACGTTGATGAGCTATAAAGAATCAGCCGTGAGAGAAGTGCACTCAATTTTTGCACCTTCTCATCCTTGTACCTAAGTGCGCGTTGGACAAGGACATTGTGAACCTGTTGGGTCAAGGCTGGGTCGGCTGCCCAAAGTGGCGCCTGCATCATTGGTGCAGGCGCCACAACAACAGCAGCAAACACTGCTGAGAGAAGGGATGTGGTGGCTATGAAAACATCCGATTCCTTTTCCCCTTCCCCCAACTGCGGTACAGTTGATACAAAAGAAGCAACAAGACCAAGAACCTTCTTCGTTGTCTGCTGCACATCTGTGTCTCCAAGACCACAGTGAATCTGTGTCCAGGCGCTCGTAACACTCCGACACAGGACACAAAGTCTCAATGTGTTTGACCACATCATGTCACTGGTGTCATGGTAGTCCTTGGCGTTCTGCCCAAACTGTTGCTCAACAGACCGACGTGCACACTCAAGGGCCTCCTGCTGCTTCACCAACTGAGAGAATACCGCCTCCAGCAAACCCTTGACGACAGTAAACGTATCCACAGTGGCTTGCACCTCCTTGTGCACAGCCGGCGCACCGACGGAGTGAATATGCCACAATGCTTCATGCTCTATCCAGCAAAGTGCACGGGACAAGGCACTACCCAGGAGAGAAACTACAGGCCACAGTCGAGTAGGCACTTCACGGTCTAGTACCGTACGAAAATTTACTCTGTGCTTCTCACTGCTGTGATGAACTTCTAACACATCCAGAGCCACATCGTGAAACAGATGTAGAATCGTGTTATTCGCCTCCACAATTAGTCGTGAAGGAGCCAGTAACGCGTCTGGCACAGCCAAAAGTGCATTATCGGAGGAGGGGGAAGAGAAGCCCATGACATCATTATCATCAGGAGTGCGAGTTGCTGTTGTGAAACCGTCCCTCGCATCTGCCATGACGGCAACACACGGCAAAACGTCGTCCAGTATGCGCCGGGTAAAGTTTGCAAAGTGACTTGTGAGTCTTTTACCCACCACGCACCCACGTGCCACCGCACGAACTGTCCCTCCAAGAATAAGCACATAGCCTAAGGCCAGACGGCGGTGGATACCCATCTGCTCCCGTATGAATGACTTCTCACCGAGGGAGCAGAGTGCCTCGGTCCACGCCACTGTGCAGCAGGGCCGCTCATTGCCCTCCCCGAAGGCACTCGCCTCGTCACACAGCAGACGCGTAGAGAGATAGACCACCGTGCGAAGCTGCATTTGAGATGTTAACGCCGCTGCGCACATGTGACACAGCACCGCAACACCTCCAGTCGTTGTAATACCCCCGCCGCCACCTGGAGCAGAAGAAGTGGCTGAATGTGTCGACGTGTTCCCATCAGTTAAAGGGACTCGCGAGGGAAACAGATTGGGAGCCGCCAACGACACCCGGTTCGCTGCGTATGCAATGCCACGGAAGGCTTGAGAGAGATTGTAGTCATGCAGTTGATCGTCGCTGCAGACGCCCGCCCGCAGCAGACGCTGCAGCGCTGTCGCATAGGGCTGCACATTCAACAGCTCCATGAATCCCACTTGAGAGCTTGCAGAAAAAAAGCCATTAGGAGAGCAAAAAGTTTGCAATTTGTGTTATTTACCCCTTTGGAGCAAGGATACCCGACGGTACTGACCTCCGAGTTTACCGTATCAAAGCAGATGCGTAGAAGACATGCATTGTCTAACCAGGGTATCGTCCTCAACGTTCGTCCGTTTCTCCCACACACCACACATCAATGACGATGAACCCCCATGGAAGGCAATGCTCAAGATGCGCGAGGAAAAAAGCACCACATCATTGAGCAACACTCGCATGAACATGACAGACAGAGAGAGAGAGAGAGAGAGAGAGAGAGA